TGACCCATTGCTAACTCTCCTCAACTCTGCTTATTTATATAAACAGACAATTCCATTCATTTAGGTCCTATATGACAATAAGAATTTGCAATATTATTAGTCCTGATCTGGTATCTTGGCTTCAATCACTTTCCCACCGCCATAACATAGCTTTCCTCTTCCTTTTCTATAAATACTTTCATGATAATTGTTCTGATTATCTCCCCTTTTTCTGTTTCCCTGATAGCTATAATCTCCAACTATTCAAATGTGATGTCAATCGACGTCTCCAGATGCCCTGATCTATCCCCTATCCTTCTCTTCATCTTTCCCTCTATCAGTCCTATTTGTTCTCGCTCCAACTCTCTGTAACCCCTTGCTTGCTAGTGGCTTCCCGCCTTGCTTGGGGTGAAACGCTTAAAAAAAACCCCAAAAACAAAAAAAAAAACACAAAAAAACACACAAAAAAACAAACAAAAAAACTTCAAACTTTGTACTTTGAATTAACATTAATAGGAACTGAAAGACATTTAGGTAAGAAAATCAGGTACTGAAAATTGTAATTAAAAATAGGAGTGCTATATACCCATGGTTAGTGTTCTAGAGTTAAGAAAATAAAGACCAAGACTACCTAATTCAAACCCATGAACCTACTAAAATAACGTTTTTTATAATAAGAAATAATATTAGATAAAAAAATCCCTTCACACACATACATTGGTTGGCTTAAAAATGTATGCACACTAAACCTAATCCTGCAACTGTTTACGATGCTAAGAACTAGAAAAGATTTAGGAAATTAAGAATTTTATTTTCAGCAAGATGGAGCATCGACACACTACTATCGTGATTTTCAGCAAGATGGATCGAGAATATCTTCATCGTTTGCTGGATCTGACGCCTTTAAATTTTTTTTCTTGTGAGTGAAATTTTCCATAGAGCAAGAATGCAGCCAAGTGGCTATCGAAATGAAGATGGCTGCCAGTAATTCCACCGAGTTGCATTGTAATCAATGTTTGAATCATAACGGACATCCACTTGAAACCATGCGATGACAAAATCTTAAGAGCATGCAACAAATACTGTCTTTATATGGATTATTTAAATTAGATATAATTTGGTTCTAGATGCTTGTTATTTCTTGGGAAAACTTCAAAATGGATCTATTTTTTGAAGCACTTTATAATATTTTTTCTTGTGAGGACACAAAACAAAGATAAAATCTTTTGGTAAAAAGCCAAATAACAACAATCGCTGAAAAACAAGGATTTTCCATGCAGAACAAGAATTTTTGCCACTTATTTGAATCGAAAATGAAGATGGCTGCCAAATCATTAACCTTGTATTAGTTTTGTATGAATAATTGCATTGTAATTGCACGTTTATTGTAATTTAAATATCTGATCCATGTGCGACTTTTGCTTAATAAGTGAATTACTGGAACAATATAGTTCATGCCACTTTGACAAAAAATTTACCAGTAAAAACATTTGTTCATTACCATATTTGGTATGACAAACATTTTAAAAAATTCAAAATCAAACTCAGCGTTGCTTTGGAGCAAAAACAAACAAATAGCATTTCGGATACAATACACATTTTCGATATGGATTATTTAAATTAAGAACAACATATAATTTGACGTTCTAGATGGAACAGAATTAAAAATAACAACTAATACGGCAAAATTTATAAAACAAGGATATATTTTTTAGAGGTTTTTGTACTATTTGAATCGTTTGCAAGATGGATGTCTTGCCATTTAAATATATTTGCATATATATATATATATTTGTATATATATATATATATATATATATATATATATATATATATATATTGGTAATAATTGGTATATATAATTCGGTTGATGATGAAATGGAACTAATGTTTTTAATTTAATTACAAAATTAAATTCGAAGCTTTTAGCTTCCATTTTGAAACATGGTTATTACTGTGTAGCGAAAAAAAACATATTTTAAATCAGTTAATTTATAATATTGATGCCCTGTAAATTTACATTGAGCACTATTTTGTAAAAAATAAAAATATCCATAAGAACACCGGATTATATATCTTGCTGTTCTTTCATTTTATATATATATATATATATATATATATATTGTCATCCACAGACATATAGTTTCGCTGTGTCACAGCTCATCATTGTGGCTAGACGTCCGGTTGCCTGTAACTAGGATCGAAACCCGGCGGAATTGGCGTCAGCCGAGAATCTACCAGTAAGCCGTTGGCTCACAGCAAGGATGAAGGTGAATTTAAGCGTATTTATTTTGGATAAACACGTCAGTGTCTGAGAGAACTCGATTCGTTTAAGCGAAAGAGTGTTGCGTTAACAGCAGTACTAGTGACTGTTTACAAACTCACACTTTCTACCCCTGAGAACTCGACAGAAATAATTTTATATATATATATATATATATATATATATATATATATAATGAAATGGACTAAGTCCGACAATTATTTTAATATATTTTTGTTAATACGTTATTTTTATAGATACAAATATTTAAATAAATGCTCTGTTTATAATAAACAGTATTAACAACATTTACCGGCCTGAATGTCTGAGAAATCTCAAAGAAAATGTGTCCTCCGACAGGAATCGAACCTGTATACTACAAGAAACCGTTATATAACCTGACGTGCTATACCATTTAGCTACAGAGGAAGCATCTGGTAGCTAAATCATATAGCACGTCAGGCTATATTGATGTTCCGTGTAGGATACAGATTCCTGACGGAGGACACATATTTTCTTTGAGATTTCTCGGGCATTCAGGCCGGTAAATGTTGTTAATACTGTTATTTTGGCAGGATTGGTTTGTTAATTTATTTATTGTTTATTTATTTGGATTATTTTATTTTACTTGTTTTTTTTTTTTGCTTATTTTTATTTTATATACTTTTACTTATTCTTTTCGATTTTTAAGTCACGTAGTAAAAAAAATTTGAGATGAGTTTTAACTGTTATTTTACCCGGAATGGTTTTTTAATTTGTTTATTATTTACTTTATTTATTTATTTGGATCGATTATTTTTATTTATTTTTCATTTTTATTTATTCTTTTCAGTCTATTCTAACGGTTGTTAGACGGGAGTGGTTTGTTACTTTGTTTATTATTTGCTTGGATTAATTTATTTTACTTGTTTTTATTTTTATTTTATTTATTTTCATTTATTCTTTTCAGTTTCAGATTTTTAAGTAACGTAGTAAAATTTGTTTTCATGTCTGCATTTTTGAGTTCTGATCGTTTATTTAGTAGTTTGTTTTGGTCTGGAAAGGTAATAATAGCTATTTTTTCCTCTAAGTTGCAGTTTGTGGATTGCCATGATATTACTATTTGTGAAAAATGTTTTGTTTGCATAGTTTCTTTGTTTCCATGGTCCTATATATATATATATATGAATGAAGAAATATAGTTTTAAGGTATGCTATATTTATGGGATAAAGTGCTCAATATCAGAGATAGAGCGTATATAAATATAAAAGTGAACATTGAAGTCAACACTCGACAGACTGTTTCATACTAAACGCAATCATATGTGTGTGTGTGTGTGTGTGTGTGTGTGTATCTGTCTATATTTCTGAAATGAGGTATTACGTACACTATTTACATTATTCGGACTATTGTCAGAATCTTTGTAGCCATATTTATCACAACGTTATCAGTTATCGCTGGTTAATTCACCTCTCCCAGTTCTTGAGGACACATGGCACAGTAGATAAAGGCTTTTAGTTAGATCCAGTGACGGGACCCAAAGAGTGAGTTCAATACTTGGTTAAGGCGGTGGAGAACTTGGAGAAGGGAATAAACAGGAGATAATTGTTAACTGACATCCATTAGACATGGCACATGGAACTAGAACAGTCTACCCCAACGAGCGAAATAAAGGGTTCAGTTCGACATTCCAACCACCTGAAGAAGGCCGGAGCGTACAACGGCCGAAACGTTGTAATGAATATGGCGACAAAGATGAGGACAATAGTCCGAATAATGTGAATAGTATATATGTGCGTGCGTGTGTGTGTGCGTGCCAGATATAAATGTCCTAATTTGTATTTTAACAAAACATTAAAATGCGAAGTTGGTTCTTTGTTCACAGAAAGGGACGACAACCCCATAAATAGGTTTCACAATGGTTGTTAAACTTATTCACTCCTCTCAAAATATGTTCTTTTTTTTTCTTGTTTATCAGTCGCCAGACTTTCGCACTTGACCCAGTTTTTCTATGACAGATTTGGTGACTATTCCCTTCAAGTTCCCTGTTACGCAGAGTTTATACTCGATTGTGTAAATTTGTGTCATAATAGGGAGCTTTTTTCTCTCTTTCATTTCTTTACTTGGCATTCTCTCCCCGCCTTCGTCGTTTTCTCGCCATGGAATTTGGGATGGGGGCAGAATAACCAGCCAAATGTTTTCTAACAAAACGCCGAGTTCGCTTACCGATATGAAATACCATGTAAAGTTCCCATATGAGGAAGAAAAAAATGTGCCGCCACCCTTCAGGACGTGGCTCTCCACAACTTTCAATCTAGTTCCTGGTATGGCTATTAACTATATCCGACAGCAAGGCCTCTGATCGGGAGATTGGAGGTTTTGAGATGCATGGAACTAACTCTTAAATACCGCTGTTCCCAGGAAATATTTTTAGAGCGTAATTTAAAAAAAAAAAAAGAATATAATGTTTTAATAATACTCAGCTTACTAATTAACCCATAGCTGAGGGGAGACGCGGTGGATTCATACATTTTCCAAGCATATTTGCGCGTAAGTGAATACAACTAACTCGACTAGAATTGGAACTCGGCTCTCCGTGTTCCAATTCAGAAATGTTATCTATTACACGTTTCACACACCCAACCTTACAGCACCTGGTAACCCCAAGCAGTCACCCATCTGATCAGGCTCTACATTGCTTAACTTCAGAGATCTTAGGAGAACGGGAATTTCAACGTGATATGACCGTAAGCCCATTATACAACCTGTGCATTCAAGCTTACAGCTCCTGGCATTCCCAAGCGGTCACTCAACTAGGTACTGACCAGGCTTGACGTTGCTTAACTTCAGAGATCTTAGGAGAACAGGCGTTTCAACGTGATATGACCGTAAGCCCATTATACAACCCGTGCATTCAAGCTTACAGCTCCTGGTATTCCCAAGCAGTCACCCATCTTGGTACTGATCAGGCTGGATGTTGCTTAAGTTAGGTGATCTTAGCTGCAGATAGATATAATCACTTCGTATTGACTTGTATAGGGGGTGGGGATCAATTCACAATAAATTTACATGGAAAACTGAATCCCCTATTAACGTATATAAAGGTTATTAAATTCGTATTTTCGTGTGCGTAATATGCAGTAATATGAAAAAAAAAATGGTGGAAAAAATGATTATTTCTAGTCACAGTACAGTTCAACCAAGATTTGTCAAGCCATAGAATATACAGCAAGGGAGAAATGGATTCATGCCTCTCTGAAGATTTTGGCTGTGTTGTTTTATTTAGCGCAATATCGACAGCTATGGGCTATTTAATTAGGAAATCTAAATATATTTGTTTTATTTTTGGCGATAATAATGTTTTAGTAATACTAGTCATACTAATTATAGCTGGAAGGGATTCACACCTTTCCCACGGGTATTATGTGGCCTACTTGGGGCCAGAAATAAAGACACAAAGAGAGGAACTGACTTAAACAAATATATTAACAGAAACAGCAATACAAACATATAAAGAGGCGAGTGTTACAGCAAGAATGTTCAGTCCGACTGTCAGTGCTGACTACTGGAAACTTCCCTCACCAAAAAGGCAGTACCTGCTCCTATTTATAGCTGGGAGAGTAAATTACCATAACATATTAGCTTGCAAAGGAATATAACGAACCCAACAGGAATTGGAACTCGGTTTTACGATTCCAAGACATTATCTCTTAAATCACGCGCACATCGAAGTTTGCAGCACGCGGTATTCCCAAGCAGTCACTCATCCAGGTACAGATCAGGCTCAACATTGCTTAACTTCTCTGATCGCACAGAAACCGGTGTTTCAACGTTATGTGGCCGTAAGGCCATTCTGAAAAGCATTGACGCAAGGTGGCTATAAGCAGTCTTACCCTAAACTCGAAACTCTTGCACATTTATAAATCTACCATTCGTCCGTGCATTGAATACTGCAACCATATCTGGTATAGTGCTCCAATTATACATCTCAAAATTCTTGACAAAATTCAAAGAAGGTTCTGTAATGTAATCGATCCTGATTTGGCACTTCGATTTCAGTCACTTTCTCACCGACGAGACGTGGCTTCCCCCTGTCTTTTCAACAAATATTTTCTTGCTACCTGTTCTGACAAGCTTTTTTCCTTAGTAAAATGATTGCATAAATGTAAACGTCCTACTAGATTGGCAACTAGGTCTCACCGGTTTATTGTAGAACTATCTAGATGCAACCGTCTCTTCTACTCTAACAGTTTATTTTCTCATACTTCAAAACGGTGGAACTTCCTTCCGACTGACTGCTTCCCTGCTATCTACAATCTTCAAAAATTTAAATGCACCGTCAATCGCCATCTTCTGTCTTCCTGAAGTCTGTTCCTTTATTGTCTTTTCTTCACTCCTCCTCACGAAAGACTTCTTATTCTCTTTCACTTCCTGTACCACCTTGCATCTTAGTGGCATTATCGCCTTGATTTCGATTGATTGCTTCCCTGCTACCTAGAATCTTCAAAAATTTAGATACACATTCTCTTTCCCTCCATGTAACTCCTTGCGTCTTAGTGGCAATATCACCTTGCATGGGACGAAATGATTAAAAAAAAGCCCGATTATTCAGGCTAGTTACGTTAACGACCCAGAACATGGAGGTTAGTGCACTGTATACCCACAGACTGTCCGCTATTTCTGACTGCTTTGATAATTCAGTCAAATTACAAGAATTATTGATGCAAAATACTGATATCTGATGTCTACAAACGAGGCGCAAAAAAAAACCAACAAAAAAACTAAAAAACAAATGCTAAAATATGTGTAAAATTGGCTAAATGAAATGTTTTTATCTGCCTTAAAAGCAGAAAGATGTTGGTGTCAAGGCTTGACACAGAACGAGAAGAGTTGGCGTTGACTGTTCGTCGAATGTCAGACAGCTAGGAGACTTGTAAAAGGCTACAGGCGAACAAAACGTCCAGGAAGAAGGTCACACCAAAAACAAAGGTCTTTAGATTATATTACACTTTTTTTTATATATTAGACTAGCTGATCTAAGCTGAATAGCTTAAATTTAAGCCTGTGAATGGCACAGAAATCCAGTTACTACTGGATGGCTGTAAAACAGAAGATTTAGTCCAGACCAAGATCATCTGCTGACGTCTGGGATTTATTTAACAAAAATTCTATAACCAATAATTCCCAAACCAATGTTTGCAATCCATATCAGGTTCACAAATATATTCTTGAAGGACGCGGGATTGTTTTTTTTTAAAAAAAGAAAAGGAAAAAAAAGACAAGATTATTATTATTATTATTATTATTATTATTATTATTATTTCCATTGATTTCTGTTATATACATATTTCTTTCAGGGTCCCAATCAGAGACCTAAGGTCAATAATGACTTCATGATGTTTTCCACTGATCAGTTTTTGTAAAAAAAAACAAAAATAAAAAAACTGTTATTATTATTATTTTTTATTTTCTTTGATTTCTGGCGTTTACACATTTCTTTCCGGGTCCCGCCCAGGGACCTAAGGTCAGAAATGGCGTCATGACACTTTCCACTGACAAAAAAGAAAAAAATTAAATTACATAGATAAAGCCCCTCGTAAGGTGTGGGCTGTACTTGTCAGAACAATTTTTGTATCTCCTTGAGGCATGGACTTCCAGGAATCCCTTCAATTAGTCTACTGCAATCTTTTCCAACCAGTCCTAGGGCTCCAACTACAACAGGGATTGTTGATGTTCCCATATGCCACATTTTCGAGATTTCTATTTCAAGGTCCTTGTACTTTGACAACTTTTTGAGTATCTTCAAAGATACATTGCAGTCAGCAGGGACTGCCATATTATTATTATTATTATTATTATTATTATTATTATTATTATTATTATTATTATTTTCTTTGTTTTCTGTAAATAAAAAAATAAACCTGAGATCGCACACATTTTACATAGAAACCTGGACTACCAGGAATCTCCTCAATAAGTCTATCAGAAACTTTTCCAATCAATCCGAGGGCTCCAACTACTACTGGAATTATTGATGTCCTCCTGTGACACATTTTTGAAATTTCCATTTCAAGGTCTTTCTATTATAAAAGTTTTTTTGAAGATCGTTAAAGATATGTTACAATCTGCGGGGATCGCCATGTCAATAAGAAAGCACATTCTGTTCTTGATTATGATAATTATTATTATTGCGCTTGTCTCGCACTTCGTTATTTCGCACGACCGTTACGCCCTGCCAATACTGAATTAAGAATGGATTATTTTGTTTTCATCGTTTGGAAAGAGGGGAAAAGACGCTATTTGGTTTCAGTGAGAGAATGAAAGGAAGAAAGTAAGAAAGGAGTACAGAAATGGAGAGAAAGAATCAGATTAAGCTGATAAGAACAGATACAACACTTTGATCTTAGTCGAAATGCCGTGTAGCGAGGGGCGATTCATTTACATTCTCTGGAATTTAAATATATAGAATCTAGTGTCCACAAAGTGAGGGATCAGTCTATATATAAACTGTAATATAGAATTGATCCCCCAGTTTGTGTCCATATTATAATTTGTTTATCAGTTTGAGATAAATCCACTTTTCACCACAACTAAATGTTAATTAGTAAGACTTGTATCACTAAATCATTATTATCTAAAAAAGAAAAAGGGATTCTTACAATCTAAAAATATTTTCTGGCTTTAAATAACCTGCAACGGGTTGATAAACCGTAGAAAACGAATAAATCAATGAAATTATTTTATTGGGATAGTGATGCCAATGAAATTCTGTTTAGTGTTATCATATTGTATTACTCCTTTTTTTAACAGATATGCAGAGATCTCACTGATCATTTAAATATTCCATACCCCCCCCCACTCAAAAAAAAATCAACTAATAGAAGACAACGATCCTATCTTCCCTCCCGTGACCAATTTACTGACGGTGAGTGTTGTTAAGCTGATGAGATAGCTATTCATATTTGGTATAGGAATAACCTCGCACAAAATGTCAACATCCTCTACAAAGTATTCCAAGAAGAATTTTTGGAATCGGTATCAGCCGAAGCAAAGCAGTGAAGCGACTAAAACACAAGGGGTTACAGGGTGTGGAAGAATTTGAAAACAGAAACAATTACGGTGAGCGGAAAGAGAAGAGAGTAATCAGGAGGACAGTAGATATCGATTGATATTGCATTTAAATTTTTGCAGATTAAAGCTGGCTGGAAAGTATGAAGTTGGAAGAGAGTTCCACAAATAAGGCAGTAAATGAACTAACATGCAAGAGGTTACAGGGTGTGGGGGAATTAGGAACAGAGACATTAATAATGAGAAGAATGAGAAAAGAGTAATCAGGAGGACAGTAGATATCGATTGATATTGCATTTAAATTTTTACAGATTAAAGTTGGCTGGAAAGCATGGAGCTGGAAGAGAGTTCCACAAGCGAGAGAAGAAACTGTTAGCATAGAACTTACGGTTACATCTAGCCAGCTCAACTGATGCCAATGGAATTCTGTTTAGTGTCATCATTTTGTATTGCCTTTTTTTTTAAAAGTGTCAACAGATATGAAGAGATCTCGACGCCAGTCTAATACTGCGCTTAAATTCAAAAACTCCAGATACCATAGCGAAATGTTCATCAGAACAATTACCATGAAAGTATTTATAGAAAAGACACAGAGAGGCAACCTTAGAGCGGTGGGAAAGTGGCTGAAGCAAGACTTAAAATAAACCTTTCCAAAACAGAAACTATGATCTGGAATTGGAATGAAAGCAGTGATGGCAACTACCCTTAATCCATCGTAAAAATTCAGGATGTGGAATTAATAAATCTCAAACAATTCAAATACCTCAGTGGATGGGTCATTTATAAAAAGTTTAGTATCAGAGAGAAGGAAATTAAACCTAGAATATTTTGTGCTAGGGGTAGGATTTGTAACCCTGCAGCCTCTTAGTTAGTGGGAAATCGCCCCCCCCCCAAGAAAAAATCGTCATCTTGGACAGTACGTGAACCTAAGCTGTTTGCATTCTTTGGTAGTAGTGGGACGTTAATTCTGCTAAATAAAATAGATACTAGCGTGGAAATATCTTGCTGTATCTGTCTTCCCGTTGTCTATGTTTTTGAAAGCGAAGACCCCAAGCCCATTGTTGGCGCCCTCCCACCACCAACTCACAGTTCCTTGAAACTGAAAAGATTGGTGACATATAAAGTCAGCCTCTACAATCCACTATCTGCCATGAGAATGGAAATCGGCAATTAATGAACGCTAGCTGCCATGTGTATTAGAATTCTATGCCGCATCCGCTATACTGGAAAACCAAATTTGTTCTTTAGGATCAGACAATGGGACTTTAACTAAGTTAAAACTTAATATAATGGAAGGCTTAAACATAAAATCCCATTCCCATCCATTGGTAAGTATGTCTACAGCTGTCAACTCGGAAATTGTCAGCTGAACCCTTTTTTTTTCTCTGTGTGTATGTAATAGGAGTAGGTAAGCTTCCCTGTCGTCCGGTCAATACTCCTCCCCCTTCTCTTGGACAAGTGTAGAGGCTCACATCTTGTTTCTTGTTTAGGAAGGGGTTTCCGGATCTCTCTCTTCCTATCTCTCTGGCCTTTGTACTGGAGGCTGCCGTGTTTCTCCCGTGACGTGTGCAGTCATTGGCAATGTCTCTTCATTCTGAGGGTACACGGTTGACAGTTTTCTGGTTGCTGTTTCCGACTGGTAGTTAGGAGCCCTAACTCTTGCGTAGCGTCTTGAGCGTCCTCTCTGATCAACAGTTTTATAATACCGGGGTGTCTGTAGTGCCATGTCGCGCATGAATAGGTGTCCCTGAATTCATCTCCGGTGGGCAACCCTGAG